AAAAAAGTCAATAGTTTTTGAAATAATGAGTGTTGTTTGATAAAAGAATCACCCTGTATACTTGCCTGTGTTTCAGTCTGACAAGTGCGTAACATAGCAAATTTTACGATCAGCAGATCACGTTTAGCTCCATAAGTTTAAAATTTAGAGTGAATTTACCTCTTATTAAAATTAAAGGTAACATTTTTATCGAGGGCTTCTCATAAAATTCTTATTATATTTTAATTTTAAAGCGAGTTATGGATTTTTTAAGATATTTAAACAATTTACAATTTTATAAATAACTCGCTTTAAAATAATAATTAAATAAAAATCCTATGAGAAACCCTTCGTTAAAAATGTTAGTTCAATTTTTATTAGAGGTCAATTCACTCAAAATTTTAAGCTCACGGAGCTAAACATCCTCTTAATGAATCAATAGTGAACTTATGGTCCCTTAAACATGATTTAGCCATGGATTTGTAGTTAATATTTGATTGAACTATTAAAGCAACACATTTTTCATGCAACCTAGCATTATAATATTATCCTTAATGAAAATAAACTAACTTTTATCAAATTTTAAATTCATAAACTTTCTAGCTGCACCTTTTTTTTTCTTAATTTTACATGTATTAATTATTATTTAAATACAAAAAAGTAATAAATCAAATTCAGCTAACTCATGTTTGTCAAATTTTATTTACTGGGTAGCATGAGTATTGTAGTATCTCTATTAGAGAAAATAACTAATTTAAGTTTTAGAAATTTACTTGCGAGTAGTAAGCTTTGTTATAAAAATTAAAAGGATTTGTAATACATTATTTATCGATTTTAATTTCACCGAATATCCCTGTGACATATTTAAAATTCAAGTAATGGTGGGGGAATTGAAAATTGTATTAAGTAACTAACATACAAGCAAACAGTGAAATGGTTTTTTATGATATAAGTATATTTTTAACCAATTACATTTCTTCCAAACATAGGTAGTATTGATGATATATAAATTAGTAAAATAATTTATTGTCTTGGTTATGTTGTAAAGCCTGTAGCTATGTGACAGGCGAGAAGGAGCATTTTCCTCACTAAACCCTAAAATCATTGTCCCGTCTAACAATATTTAAAATATTAGAAATTAATGTTATTTTTTTTATATATATTGGCTTTCTAGAATTTGGTTTGCTCCACTCGAATATTTAGTCTGGCTACAGGCCTGTGTTGATAATTTGTATTAATGTTTTAATTGTAATAAAATCCAAGGTTCAACTAGATAGATTTATAATATATAAAACAAATTATATGCTGGGTTTTGTAGTGATGAAATTGTTGCTGAAATTAATTAAAGATAAAATGATGGAATTTTTACATTAGGGGTACCTGTATTAAAGATCAAATAATTTGTTTGTATGACCAATAATATTGTTTCTATTGTAACCAAATATGTATTATATCTGGTTAGTGATTACACATACTCTGAAAGCTTTATCATGTAATAAGAAGGTTTTGCAACATTTTATTTATACAACTGCTTATTAGTCATTATTATATTTTCAAAAAGTATTTGTTGGTAACATTTTTCATTATGTCTGTTTTGTAAGTTACATTCATAAACCCTTATTTACATGAAATTTTTCATTAAAATAATTTGGAAATCATATTTAATGTAATTATATTCCGTAGCTACTTACTAATATGCATAATATAATTAAATACCTATACAATATTGAAATATGGATATTCCTTGGTGATTTTTTAAAGTTATTAAATTACCTACTATAGACTTAATATATAATTATTTATACTTTACTTAGTAACTAACGTTTACATAATTTTAATTTTTTTTTTTTTTAATGTAGATAACTTCTGTTGGCTATCAAAAGCCGTTCAGATTATCATTAAACGGTATAAAATAATTTCTTAATACAATGGAGCGAGAATCCAATTCCATGCAAGCTTTGTGTCGTGGTGGATGTGGCTTCTATGGTAACCCATCTACAGATGGCCTTTGCTCTCTGTGCTATAAAGAAGCACTGAAAAAGAAACAGACACCACCRCAAACAGCTCCATCGCCACCATCAGTCTCCGCTCAGAATATGATTGAGACTGCTATACCTACCATACCAGTGCTGCAGATTCCACCTGTACCTGCCTCTCCTATTTTGCCCACAGACTCAAAAAAAGATGTAAATTTCCATTTACCATTAAATTATTCTATAGTTTTTATAATATTTAAAAAWTATATTTCTTAGATGGACAATGGTTTGGCATGCAGTTCTAATGACAGCAGTCTCATGGACGATGGTAAAAAAGATGACGATGATGATAAAGACAAATCTAAAAAGAAAAACCGATGTGCCATGTGCCGCAAAAAAGTCGGTCTTACAGGTATAGACATAGCTTTTAAATTTTATGATATTTTGATTTATATATATACATACATATATATAATATCTTTAACATGAAAAAGAGTATTGGAAATTTTATGTTTCAGTGAATAATAATTGGTATGGCAACTAAAAAAATAAATAAACAAATGACTGTTATGAGTTAGAAGTGGGGGTTGGCAAGCAGAGCAAGTCGGGGGCATCGCCCCTAGTATGAAAATTAAAACTATATATTATGTCATACAGTTAATTCATCTGTATGGTGGCAGATAAGTAGATACTAGGGGCAAAAGGCATATTAAAGTTTGAAAAAAAAAATATTCTCTGTTCGGTGAGAACCTCACCGTGACCCAACCATGACTTGGTTTTACTGCTCATTCCGACCCAAGTCCTACCATTCTAAGATGAACTCCACTCAATCATGTGTCTCAATGTGCAGAAAAACCGATTCATTTGAGGTCACTGCTTGGTCACTTATACAGATTATAGTTTTGACAAACTATTCTAGAATTAAAGTTAAATTTACCCTAAAATAAATTAGAACAAAACTTTCGTACATTTTTTATCTTTAAAATTTTCTCCAAACTATTGAAATTAAAAAAAAAAAGATCAATGTATAAATTAACTTAATTATATATAACTGGCATGTTATTAAAACTTAGTAAATGGTAAATTTAATTTACTATATTTATTTATATGGTATAAAATAACTCGTAATCAAACCACTTCTCTTTTCCTCAATACTTATATCCTGATATTTACTTTGTTKATAACTAAAGTTCTGTCCTAATGCTTTCCCTTTCACTTGAACTGGACGAAATTTTCAAATTTTTAAAAAATTATTTTGAATTTGTCCCTTCAGCTTAGAAATATTGGTGTCTTTAAAATTGATTAGTAGCTTATCTTGTATATTGAATTTTTTTATAATTCTTTAAACTTAACAAAGTGATTCATTACATTGTTTTTTCTTATTTTATAGGTTTTGAATGCCGTTGTGGTGGCTTATTTTGCGGCATCCATAGATACTCCGACAAACATAATTGTTCATTTGACTACAGGGAGCTAGGAGCACAAGAAATCAGGCGCAATAATCCAGTAGTTGTTGGAGAAAAGATTCAGAAGATTTAATATATTATGAAGAAATATTGAATTAACACTTAATAAGCGCATGAAAATAATGAATGTACCAATATAATAAAATATATGCATCTATATATATATATATTTAAAATATAAATAAACTTCCACTGTAGTTTTATAACAACATAAAGTGTACATTCTTAATTTAACTAAAGGTATAGTAATTTTATTTTTCTAATGCTGWTTTTTGAAGCCTTACCTGTTTTCAAATTCACAATTGACACATTTTTTTCCATTTGTCAAAAGAAGAGGAGAACATTATAAATTTTTATTAACACTTTTGAAGAGCGTAGTCGCTGTGCAATAGATAAATGTATATAAATCAATGTTTTTTCTTTTTATTTTCATGGATTTAGTTGGTTAGTTTTATGAAAAATTTATATCCTTTAAACAATGTAAGATTTTTTTTCACTTGTTATTTTTTTTTTTTTTTGCTTCCCATAGTATTCAAGAATTGTTGTAAGTCGTGCTCATCATGTTTTTATATATAGTTGGTTATTAGCTATTTTAGTAATGATTTTATGTTCTTTTTCATAATCTTTAATTATAAAAATAAAACAAAATATTAATCGTTAAAAAAACAAAACTAATTTAGTTGAACCACTTAAGTATGAAATTATTTTCGATTTACTTATTATTATTATTATTATTATTATTATTATTATTATTATTATGATTATGATTATGATTATAATTATATAAAAATATATTTACGCGAACTATATTATATTTTCTCCGTATTTTAGTTGATGATGTTCTGTAAATTAAGGATTTTTTGAGCAAAATAATCTTGTGTAAATAATATATACAAGACATGTTTAGATAGTACACAAAGATTTTTAAGCTATGTAAATAAAGTAATGGATTGAGTGTTGAGATATGTTATCCTCTTTAATTTCTGTAATATTATGCTTTCATTTATATTTTTATGTTTAATGGTTTCACTACATCATAATTCATAATATCAATGTACAAAAAATTAAAAGGAAAAAAAGAGAAAAATAGATCAGAGATGGTTATATAATAAAATGATTTTTTTTATGTACCTTCTTAATTTTATTATATCAGATGTACAAATCTTAATAGTATGTATTTCATTGTATTAAGATAATTTCTATTTGAACACTGAAATGCAACACCAAAAATGGTTTTCAAGACAAGGATTGTTTTTAATCCAATAACCATTTAATATATGCAAGTATTTTTAATTAAAAAAAGATAGAATTTAATGTTTAAAATATTGGTTATTGGCAAAATATTCAGTTTGTTTTATGAGTATGGTTAGGTCTTCACAATAAATACTTATTGTCAGTATTAGAATATGGAATTCTGCTACAACTAAAGCAACATAAAAGATAAATTTCTAAAACAAGTTTTGGAACTTTATTATAATTAATATAGACATAAAATAAATTTTAAATGGTATTTTAACTTTTGGAATCATTACATTAAAAAAAAAATGTATATTATTATATTTATTAGACTAAACAGTTTTGCAATATTTAAATCATAATTGTAATAAGCTACCTTTTTCAGAACGTTCTACTTTAATATCATTGGATTTAATTTGTGGTTTGATATCCAAAAGCTGATCCGTTAAGCTTCTGCTATCGTCTTCGTCATCATTTCCAAAAATAGGCCATTCTCTATCAGCGCAAATTAACCCTCTTTGTTCTAATAGTGTACGCAAATGATCTAAAACATAGGCTCCATCCACAGACAGTTCTGAAGTTAAACTACCAGAAATAAAATGTATTAATATTGAATATGTTGTTATATTTGAACTAATTAAATTGAAAAATAATTTCACCTAGGATTGTCTTCTGTAATTTGTTCAATGGAATGTTCATCCAAGCAATTAATCTCGACCCTCGGAGACTCCAAACAAATGTTCTGCATTTCTTGTGCCTTCTCTGTGTAATAATCAGCAAGCTTATGTAGCTTATCTAACAAACCGATATATTGAGGCGAACTAAAAGCCTGGTCTCGACTGATGTCGCTCAGATTACTATCCAAGCACTTTGATATATAATTCAAAATGTCTTTGTGGTACTCCAAATTGGCTTTGGAAATCTCTAAAATACTTTGTTCTAATTGAATACCCGAGTTTGATGACACTGAAAGATCATCTATTTCTTTAGGTGACATTTTTAATAAATTACATATGTATCTCATTAATTCCATATTAATCCAATTGTTGTTATTGTTTGATTTACTCTTTTTTTGTTTTTTATCTCTCACATATTCCTCTAATACTTTCAGTGTACTGTTATAAAATGAACTCGGTAGTCCTACATAGTTAAGACTTTCCTTTGGCCGGTCTCTGAATGTATCATTCTTATTGTTCATTGATTGTACATCATTAATAGGTGCTTGGTTTGTATAAATTTCCTCAAACAAACGACGTTTCTTCTTTTTAATCCAGCTTAACATTTCATTTATATTCTCCAATGGACGTTGTAGTGGAGATTCATTTTTCTTGTTGCCTTTGTATTGTCGCATACATTGTTTTTGACCTGATGCACCAGATTGACCTAAATATATTTTGAATACAAAAAGAAAATTGAATAAATGTTGAAATTACATCTTTGAAATTTAAAATATACTCAAAAGAAACAAAATGCTCAGATTCCAAAAGTTAAAAAARTATTTTAAGTGTTTATATGCCACGCTATATAATACTATATACAATTTGGATTAAATACTTATTTCTTCACAACTTGATTATAATTAATTCATCGAACAACATTATTCAATTATTGGATAACTAAGTGCAAACCGCCTATGTAAAAACATGACAAATATTAATTTMAAATAACACACTTAAATAATTTGACTACAAATAATTTCATAGTTATAATATCCCTAAGTTATAAGTATAACAATSATCATAGGTAACAGACTAAATTGATATATTTCAGCATTTTAGAATGTTAGGTTATTTAAGTCATAACAAAGACTATAATATTTATCTTAAACTTCTATTATATAATTGGAAAAATTATGCAAAATATTCTAAGCAGCATAATTTTAACATTTAATATTTTATAACTACAATTACTAAAGTATAATTGGGGAATAGTAATTACAATGAAAGCTTTACATATATATGAAAATGAGTTCTTTATAGAAAAACWCATGCAATTGAAAAGTTACTTCACACTAGTATAACACAAAAACTTTATTTCTCTAGATAAATTATATATAGGTATAGCGGTATAGATGCAATTGGACTAGATATAGYATAATATACTATCTTGTACAGTATGCATATAAAAGTAATCCACTTTACACAATGAAGACTCAATTAATTAAATAACCATGTAAATAAATTATTAATATTCATAATATTTTATTGTAAGTGTATTTTAGTGCTAAAATAAATGAAATAATTATAAATACAATTAATGATACTGAAACCAGGAATAATATTCAATGYTTGAAGTACTGTTACAACAAAAATTAAGCTTACATTTTCTAAAATTATGTCTTGAATTTCCTGTTCCAATATGATTTTATTTAGTACAAAACAATATTTATTATTTTTAAATATTGAATAATTTATTGTGTGAAGTGGGTAATTTGTGTACATATAAGATAAGCAATTATTGCATTAAATCTATCGAGCTTTATTACAGCAAACAAACCAAGGTGATGTCACACTGTTTTTTTTTTCAATTCTTTATATGAAAATATTTTAAGTAGACATGATACCAATTCCAATTTTTTGAAATTAATTACATTTTTAAACTAAAACAACATAGTATTTGAATATTGTGTAACTTGAAATATTTGTTAGTTTTATGTTATTCAAAACCTTAAAAATGTAAAATGACGAACATTAATACAAATAAATAAAAAACTATTATATTATCATAGGACGACAATACTGTTAAAATTATTTGTTACTYTTTAATTTGTATTTACTAATTAGTAAAAAATAATATTATTACTATATAGACATGGAATAATAACAAATCAAAAGAATTTGAATTGTTTAAAATTTTCAAATCCAGAATAATTTTTTTCATGAATGGGAGTATATGATTATATAATAAAAATGTTTTATGATCAAATTAAAAAAAATTGGAATGTATTCCTCAGAATACAGCCACAAATTATAWTGCAAAGCAATATAGTATAATAAAATAATACAAACAATTGAATTTTTGTGTATGAACTAGTAAAATTATAATATTATTTCTAAATAGTAAAAGTAATTATTACACATTTACTTAATACTTAAGATAAAAAATTTTATAATTTACAAATATTTATAATAATACTCGCAGTAAAATTAAAAAGTAGATAAGAAAGATAGTTTTAAGGATTTAAAATATGAATACAACAATTTTAGTTAAGTAGTTTCAATTGATAAAATTGTCATTTGAGTTAGTTATGTTCTAAAATATATAAGTAAATTTAAATTAAATCAGTAGTTGATAATAAARTGATTAAAAAAAATGTTTGTGATTGCATTAGATTATATGTTATTGCTGTTAAATTAATGCAAGTTTCACAGATGAACATTTTTAAATTGATAAAGAATGCTGAATAATCAAAAATATAGAAATAATTACCTTTAAACTATTTCAAACTACTTGTAATTAAAAAATATTTTTCATCTATCATATGAACTACTTGGACATATATCAAGAAGTTGATCAGTTAAACTTCTATCATCATCAGTATGTTTGAACATTGGCCATTCTTTATCAGAATTAATAATTCCTTTTTTCTGTAATAATTTATTTAAATTTCCTAATATATATTCCCCATCAACTGATGAGCTTGATGATAAATTGATAGAACTATTCCTAAAAGAAAACACAACAATTATTGATTACAACATATTAACAAGAAATTAATAATAACTCACTCTTTAATACTATTAGCATCAGTCTCGTATGATTTTTCATTTGCAATTTGAAGTGTTTCATCACAGATATTTTTAATTTCTTTAGTTTTTTCTAAATAATAATTTGATAATTGTTGAAGTTTATTTAATAAGTTAATGTTTTTGGGAGATTCAAACACTGTTTGATTTATGTCAGAAATATCTGTATTCAAGCATTTTGAAATACATTTCAACATTTTGCAGTAATGTTCGTTATCTTTTTCTGAATGTTGTAAAACACTTTCTTCAAGTTTAATACTTGAACAAGATGAAACTGACAAGTTATCCACATCAGAAGGTGACATTTTTAATAATGTATTTATGTGTGCCATCAGATCTTCATTTATTGATTCATTGTTTTTTTGATCAAAAACTTTAATTTGTTTCTGTGATATCTGTGCTTTTAACGTATTAAGCTGACTATTGTAAAAGGAATCTGGAAGTTTAGCGTAATTTACTGGATTTTCCATCCGTAATCTGTCATTAGTATAACATTTTTTAGACATAGGTACAGTTGCAGGGATCGAAGGAATTGTCTTCAATTTTTTTAAATCAGCATCTGTATTTCTAGTAGTACCAGCAGATAATTCTTTTACGAGCAGTTGTTTTTTGTTTTTAATTCTTTGCATTATATTGTTAATATTTTGCAAAGGTTTTCCAGAATTAAATTTTTCTTTATAATTTAACTTAGCACTTGGTTGTATTATTTTCTTTTTGCATCCTTTATCAAAGTTAATATTTTTTTTTGAAGGTTGCTCATAATAAGTATTGAATTGGTTTTTTTCTGGGCATTCCTTTTCAAAATGAATATTTTTCTTTGAAGGCTGCTCATAATTAGTATTAATTTGATTTTTTTCTTTGTATTCCTTCTCAAAACGAGTATTTTTCTTTGAAGATTGCTCATAATTAGAACAGATTTGGTTGTTTTTTTTGCATTTYTTTTCAAAATGAATAGTTTTCTTTGAAGGTTGTACATAATTAGTACTGGTTGATGTGGATGAAGATATACATATAGATGTAGACGTACTTGATTCATCAAGTAGTATTTCTAAAATATAAAAACAAAATATATTGATTTAATATATTTAAGTTCAAAAAAACACCRCATATGACATGTTTAAACTATCTTACAATTTTACAAAATAGCAAATTGTCTACAATAATCCATTTTAGTAATTTATTTTTAAAATAAGTAGTATATTTTTAACTAATTTTAAAATTTAAAATTTAAAAGTTGGGTATCTTGAAATCTATTAAGAGTACTCTAATAAAATTATCATAATTTGCTTACAAACTAAAATATCAATAAAAGCTTCAGAGATGTCCTATTTAATAATTTTAACATTTTATAATAAGTTAATTTACTCTAATTAAAAAAAAAAAATAAGATGGTGAAATGGATTATTATGAACGAGAAATTYAATATTCTGTCTGATATACARAGACATAACACATTGGTGTGGCATCCTAATAATAAATAATAAAAAAGGAAGAAACTTGCACTTCTGTTCAGATTAAATGAATAACTTGTCATTGTAAAGGATGTTTTGAATTTGATTTCTATTACAACCATTGTTAACAAAAATTGATACAGAACAAAAGAGATGGGTCATGGCTGGATCTATGGATTAGCGAGCCTTATTACTTGTGTATTAAAAAATTAATTAATTTTTGTTAMAAATGTTAATTTAAGTTAACATACATAATATAATAGTACTGGAGTATCATATGTGTTACTTAACATTATCTAATCTAACTTAAATTGAAATTTATAGCAAAAATGAATTTATAAATGTTTGAAATCTCGGGCACTAATCTATACTTGTTTTTATAGTCAGTAGCAGATTTGAAGATAATTTGAGGAGGGGGCGAATTGGTGTCATAGATTGAATGGTAATAACAAAGATGTAACCGAATACACATTTATGATTTTCATATTAAAAAAATACGTTTTCGTATGATATAATGTTAGCTATACTCATTGATGTAGCTACGCGCAAAAATCCTTTTCTGAGGACTACAGAGGATGGTAACTCTTAAACGAGAGAGTATATAAGTAATAGTTTTCGATATATTACATACCAGTTATCTGTTTTTTAGCTTCGGTTAAGATAATTCTTTCACTTGATGTATTTTGTTTTTTTCTAGTATTTTCTTTTGTTTGGTTTTTTTCTTCAGATTTTGAAGGTGAATTATTTTGATGTGTAATAATCATTTCCTTAAAATTTAAACATRAATTATTTTATAATAAAACATAATGGATAATATAGAACAAATTTAARCATACTTTTAAGTTGTCTGGAAATAATTTGTTTCTAATGTTTTGTTCTTCAGCAGATAATTTATTTAATTCTGAAACTAACGTTTCAAAGATTTTTAAATCTGTTTCTAGCTTTGAGAATTTAGATACATTTTCCTTATTTTCTTTATTTTTATCATGCATTGGCAATTGTTGCAATTCCTCCATTTGATTTTCTTCAGAACTAATAACAACTGACCAAGGTTTTGAAAGTTTCTACAGCAAAATAATATTAATCAGCAAGTTCACAACCGAATAATTACAATTAAACATTCATTTTTTTAATTTTACTTTATTTAAGTTCTGATTTATAATATTTGATTCATTCAAAGTTACTTGACTTGGAATAAAGAAACACTCATTGTGTTCTTTTATATTACGTCTTTGAGTATTATTATTGTCACTAGAAACATTTAAATAAAAATTTAGTCATTGAAATAAACTAWTAATAATTTCAAAATAAAATATATGAAGTAGATTGATATTTAGTATTTACACATTTTGAACACTTGTTATAAGTGTTGACCGTATTTTTTCGACTGTCTTGTTGAAATGTGTTCTTCTATCTCTCATTTCTTTTTCCATCCG